GGGGGGGCAGGACAGGGAGATGGGTGGGGTTAAGGGGTGGGGGTCCCACAGGCAGCTGGGCCCCTAGGTAACAGGCCTCTGTCTTTCCTGTAGCCACTGCCACCCCATGTGCGCATCTGGGACTCAGTTTCCCTCTCTACTTTACACGTGCTGGGCCTGGGGGTGTTTGACAGAGCTGTGTGCTGTGTGGGCTTTTCCAAATCGGTAAGTCCTACACCGGCCCTCACCTGCCCCTAACCTCCAAAATCTGGAGCCAGTGTTGCATCTTCCCACCCGCCCCTTTGGGATGTCCGACCCCCCCCCTTTTGGGATAGAGGCCATGCCTTCGTTGTGATGTCACAGATGTAGGCCACGCCTCCTGGCAGAACTCTATGCTGCACGCCCATCTCTGTGGTCTCACAGGCCTGCTCTGTTAGCCTTTTTGAAGGGGGCCCATAGGTCCTGATTGCCCCAAACATACTCCTCAGTGATCCCTTGTAGATCAGTTAATACTTGTTGCATTATTTTTCACACCACCTTTCATTCTTTTCAGACCAGTGTCCAGGGTGGTGTGGCTCTGTGCAATCATCTTAGATGGGTGTTAGCAGGTCTGGGCAAGATAAGTATAGAAATTGAGAGTAAGCCTTTAGGAATTTATAGAGCAATTTGACATTCCCACAACATCCAAGTACGTGAGTGCTGGGCTTTATTGTTTACTCCTTAATCATATTTTACATTTTTATCATATTGTTACCTAAGTGTTGGTCTGCAATGGATTGGGAAATAAAAAACAGCCAATCCTCCCACAGATAGTTTAAGCAGTCCCAGGATTAGAGCCTCACAAGTTTTTTGAGGCCTACGGAGACACCTTAGAGGAAAAACTATTTCGTTGCCAAAGTGTATGTGTATGGGGGGGCGAGCCCTGCAAAATAAAAATTGACCTGTGTTTAAAGGATTTAGTTAAACAGCATTTTACCAACTTTATTCATTGTTTAATTTCATGTACATAAAAGTCATTCCACAGGAAAAAGCAGATTAGAAGGTGTCAGTAAAAATTCCTGACCATGTGATGACTGCAGAGAAATTGTGGCTGAGGGCAAATTAGATTGATTTCTTAGGGATGAGTCATTTCAAAAGGAAAATTGTAAAAACCTTTGAAACGAGTGTATGGCTGCTGGATGGGGAGTGTGTATATTAACGTGTTTCATGTGACATGAGCCAGAGACTTTGAACATCTTAAAACAGATCTGAGTGGCAAATCCCTCAGTGAGTGAAGTGTTGGGGGAAGTGGATTCTGACCCACCTTGCCCCTCTCCCTCTCCTCTCTCCTTTTAGAACGGGGGTAACCTGCTCTGTGCAGTAGATGAATCCAACGATCACATGCTTTCCGTGTGGGACTGGGCCAAGGAGGCCAAGGTGGTGGATAGCAAGGTAGGGCAACTGTTCTCATCCCTTCTCCTTGGGGTGCACCATGGGACTGGCCGGATCTCAGTGGTCAGGAGTCTGGAATCAGATAAACTCACTTTTAAATCCTGACTTTGCCATTTGCTAGCTGTGTGACTTTGGGCAAGTGGCTTGCCCTCTCTGAGTCTTGGTTGCATCATCTATCAAATCGGGATAATGGTAGCATCTTCCTTGCAGGCCCTTGGCTGTGATGTTGGCTATGGGGTGGGTAGACCAAGCTCAACAGAAGGGTTGGTACAAGGTGGCTGGCTGTTGACTCTATAGTCCTGCAATGTCCAAGACACACCTTGACTTGCATCCCTAGGCAGTGGCCTATGTTATAGATGAGGAACCTGAGGCACGGTATTGGGGAGAACTACTGTACTTGCCCAAGGTCACACACCCATTCTGGGCTGGGGACAGGAGACTGGGTTCTGGATCAGGGCCCACAGTTTGGGGAAGAAGAAGTGGTTGAGAGGCTGGACCAGGGGTCGGCAAACTGCGGCTTGCGAGCCACATGCGGCTCTTTGGGTACGGTCTGTCTCAAAAGTTTGCCGACCCCATGGAAGAGCCAGTCCTGTCCCTCACAACAATTTAAAAATTATTCGAGAGCCATAAATCTATTTTTACATAATCACCATTATGTGAATAATATCCTTTAAAGATTTTATAAATGAAACTATGATAGTTTTATTTTCATTATCAATGTTACTTCAGAGCCACATGTGGCTCACGAGCTGCCATTTGCTGACCCCTGGCGGCTCTTCTGTCTCAAAAGTTTGCCGACCACTGGGCTGGACTATAGAGTCAGACCTACATGAGTTGATTCTGGACACAATGCTTACCTGACTGTGTGGCCTTAGGCAAGTATCTTCCCCTGAAAGTGTTTAGNGTATAGGATCAGAATGTGGGGCATGGTCAACTCCGAGGCGGGGCCATGCTGCAGAACTGAGCGGAGTAAAAAGCCTAAGGGCGGGGTCTTGATGCAATGGGCGTGGTCAGGGACTGGGGACGGACTAAGGTATCAGCGTCGCGGTCTAAAACCACACTTTTCAACCCCACTCAAATAATAGCAAATACGTACATAGCACTGTGCCAGACACTACTCCAGGCACTTCACATGAATTAACTAATTTGACTCGCAACCACCCCGGAAGGTAGGTACTCTTATTGTCCCCGTTTTAAAAACGAGGAAACCGAGGCAGAGGTTGGGCAACTTGCTCACACTGCTAGAAAGTGGCAGAGCTGGGGTTTGAACTCAGGCAGACACGCCCCTGAGTCCATGTTCTCAAGCAACACTCTCCCCACCCTCTAAAAAGAGCCTGGTATCAGGACCCCACAGCCCGAGATCTGAGACCCATTGTGACCCGCCGGTTCCCAGGGTCAGCCGCGGAGGGCGGGGCAGGGCGCGGCGGCGCGAGCGCCTCCCAGGGCCGGAAGCGGCGGGACCGGTCCCGGCTCCACCCCCGGCCCCGAAGCTCCGCCAGCCGCCGCCATGAGTAGCTTTGGAGCTGGGTGAGACCCTCTTGCAGACCCCTTTCTCCCCGCGCTCAGGGGCCTGGATCCCAGGCCTCCTCCCTCTCCAGGGACCTAGGCCCGCGAGCATCACCCCTTTCCGCTGGCGGAGGGAACATGGAGACACGCCCCTCCCCTTAAACCTTCACCGCTTCCCTTGCTGCTTGAAGTTTGGGGCGCTGTGGGAGTGGGGGTGGGGAGCCTTGGGAAAGCCGCGCTAGTTAGAAGGGTGAGGTCCCTGCTGACTCCCCTCTTCCAGGATCGTGTTCCTGCCACTTGGTGCTGTGTGATCTTTGGCGATCACTGCCTCTCTGGGCCTGTGTCTTAGGCTCTGCAAGATCAACCGAGCAAAGCACACGGCCTGCAGAGAGGCAGCGCTCCGCTCCTTACGCGGCCCCCCTTATGCATCAGAGACCAACGGGGAACGGTGGGGTAGGGGAATGATAGCTTCCCCTTTTCTGACCTGGCTGCTAATTAGAGTGCTTTTTTTTTTTTTTNAACCGGGGCCCTCTGGCATCCCAAGCGAGTTCTTCACCGTCGCGCCACTCGGCCGGCCCGCACCAGATTTCTTTTAGTTCCCTAAATAGTCCGTGCTCTGTCCTACTCTTTGCCCTTTGCACATGTTGTACCTTCTGACTGGGACACTTTTCCACCCTCTTGTCCTAGCTGACTCCTACTCAACCTTTAGATCCCTGCTCAGCCATCCCCTCCAGGAAGCTCTCCCTGACCCACTAGGCTGGATATCCTCTATGGGAGCCCCACAGTCTTCTGGGTTTCCACTTCCCAGCCTTGGGTTGTCACTGACTGGTAGTAAGTCTGTCTCTGAAATTGGACCATGAGCTCTGTGAGGGTAACGTCTGAGGTTGTCTTGGTCACCACTGTGTCCCCAGTATCACCCAGCATGAGGCTGGGCCCAGAGTAAATGTTAGCCAAATAACTATTGATTGAATGGGTTAATGAATGAATGGATGGATGGTTAGATTGACAGATAAGTGCATAGATGGGTGAACAGATAGATGGATGGGAAAATAGATGGAAATGTGTGGCTGTTTGGATAGAAGGATGGATGGATTGACTGGTGAATCAATCAATGGGTACTTGAAAGAAAGAGAGAGTAAATGAATAGATGAGAGGTGGATTGATGGATGGGTAAATGAATGGCTAGATGGATTGGTACATTGATAGACTGGATGAATGGGTGAGTAGATGGGTGGTTGAGTGGCTCAGTGAGTGGATAGATGGATGGACAAACCAGTAGACAGGTGAATGGATCAAGGGGTGAATGGTTGGATGGACAGATATTAGTTCAGATGGTTTAATGGATGGATAAAAGGGTATTTGAATAGATGAGTGTGTGGGTGGAAGGGTTGATAGAAGGAAAGGTGGGTAAATGGCTGGATGTAGGATTGAGAGTTCAAGGTGCTTTTACGAGTCAGTACAGGGGAAACTTCCCCATGCTGACCCTTGCCCCTGGCCACCCCATAGGTGGGAACCGCATCACACAGGCGGTGCCAGGTGCCCACGATGGCGGTGTGTTTGGGCTCTGCGCCCTGCGGGACGGGACGCTGGTGTCCGGAGGGGGCCGCGATCGGCGTGTGGTCTTCTGGGGTTCTGACTACAGCAAGCTGCAGGAGGTGGAGGTGAGGAGGGGGAGAGGGTCCTGTGAAGTTGAGGAGACCTCCCCTCACTCCACTAGGGCTCCTAATGCTAGATCCTCCTCTCCCCAGCATGTCATTCCCAGCCCCATCCGTGTCGGTCCTACACTCATCTGTCTGCCTTCTCTGCTCTTGCCTGCCCAGGTACCCGAGTGTTTTGGTCCTGTGCGCACCGTGGCAGAGGGCCGGGGAGACACACTGTATGTGGGAACCACCCGCAACTCCATCCTGCATGCCTCTGTGCGAACAGGCCTCTGGCCGCTCATCCAGGTGAGCTCTCTCTTCTGTGCCTGCCAACCTCCCTCCCCTACTATCTGTCTTCTCTTCCCTGCACCATTCATCTCTCCTGTCTTCCCATTCTGGGTTTTCCTCACCTCCCTGCCCCATCCCTTTTCCTCGGGCCTGGCAAACACCACTTATCTTCCCTTTACCTGCTCCCGCTCCATAACCCCACTCCTGACCTAGGATCCTCCCAGAACTCCCCATGATCCAGCAACCAACAGGGTAGCTGCTAGCACAGCAGAGGGTCCCCAGGATCCTGCTCCAGCTGTGCTGCTCTCAGCTCTTCTGATCAGGGTGGTGTCCTTTTCTGTTGGTAAGTACCCTGGCAGGTTGTCACCCAGGCTGCACACACCTTGGTCCACACACCTCCCAGGTCTGCGGCTCCAAGGATCTGGGAAGGCCCTCTGGAGTCCTACTGTTTTTCTTCTTGCAGCTCAAATGCCCACTATTCCTTCCTGATGTGCCAAAACCCTACTCCCACCCACTTAAAAATCCCACCTCCCGAGAGATGGTATAGTATGGTGATTAGGAACATGCATTCTGGACTGTGACTTGCCTGGGTTCTAATCACAGTCCTGTCTGTCATTAGCTGTGTGGTATGAGGCAAGTGAGTAACCTCTCTGTGCCTTTATGAAAGGAACATTAGAGAGCTGACCTCATGGGTTTTGTGAGGATTCCATGAGTCAGTTCACATACAGCATTTAGAATGTTGCCGGGCACAGAATAAATGCTGAGTCTTAGCCAAAATTACTCCTTGTTCAGTGGTCTCCCTTCCTTCACCCCCTCCATGCATTTTCCCTCTGATAGGATAGCTGAAATCATGCTGCTGCATTTAGATCCCGCCTCTGTCTCTAGTTTCCGTAGGAAGGAGATGAAGAAAAACAAGGGCTAGAGGGATTTTCTAGGTGTCCCCAGAAGGGATCTTGGAGACCCCTAATAATATTATCAATATTCCTATATTATTAATATGTATTAATATATTGTTAGAATTAGATTTATTATCATTATACTGATACTGATTATTACAATTATATTGATTATCAACCTTAATGATTTGTGATTAAGAATTTATTAATATGTGTTAATAATAATAGTTAACCACTTCCATTTTGTAAGCACCTTGTGCTAGCTTCGTACAGTTTCCATCCATAATTTGAGTGAGCACAACACTATGAAGCACGTACAATGATTAGCCCCATTTTACAGAAGATCAAACTGAGGCTCCCAGAGAAGTCACCTGCCTAGGTGACTGCCACAGTCAGTAAGAGAAAGCTAAAGTCAGATCCACCGGGCTGAGTATACTCCACAGGATCCCACAGCCTCCTGACTCCCAAAGTCAAGCTCTTAACCCATCACGCTCTCCTGCCTCCCACTGTACAAACTAGAAAGCAAAATTGGGGGTGGGGGGCGTTTTCCTCAAGCCACACACTGGCAGGGATCTGTCTAATCACAGTCTCCTTAAGAAACACGGTGGAAAGGGTCTTCCCTGGGACACCTGTGGACAGGTGTGTTGCTGGGGCTAGTCCAGAACTTTTTTTTGGTATCAGGCTTGGAGGGAAAGGGTCACGACTTGTCTTCCCTTTTTGCCAGGGCCATCTGGAAGAGCTGTGGGGCCTAGCCACACACCCCAGCCAGGCACAGTTTGTGACATGTGGGCAGGATAAGCTGGTGCATTTGTGGAGTGCAGAGTCCCACGAGCCCCTGTGGAGCACGATCATCGAGGTAAGGGGACAGGAGAGGTGATGTATTGTTCTAACAGAACCACTTGTCCCAATGTGTCAGGGCTCAATGCATCAGATAGAACCTACGCCTGGTTTTTTCAAGCAGAAGGGGATCTGGGTGCTTCCATACTCCTTTGGAAGGGCTAGAGGGGAGGGTACTTGACTGGAAGGATGCACAGAACCTACCCGCTAGGGGAGCTGCTGCCTCTGTCAGAGCCAGAGGGTGGGGAGCCAGGAACCACGGAATTTGAGAAAATGCCATTGTCATTATAGCTGCAATTCAGGCACCAGGAAGCTGTGGTCCCTGTAAGTGTTGGTTCTAGAGCTACACTGTTTAATACATGTGGCTATTCAAACTTAAATTAACTTTAAAATGTAAACAGAGTTAAAAATTCAGTTCCTTGGTTGCACTAGCTACATTTCAAACATGGCTAATGGACACCATATTTGAAAGTGCTAAGAGAGAGCATTGCCAACATCGCAGAAGGTTCTACTGGACTGTGTTGCTCTAGAGCAGGGCTGGCAAACTGCGGCTCGTGAGCCACATGTGGCTTTTTGGGTATGGTCTGTCTCAAAAGTTTGCCAACCCCTGGAAGAGCCAATCCTGTCCCTTACAACAACTTAAAAATTACTCAAGAGCCATAAATATATTTTTACATAATTACCATTATGTGAATAATATCCTTTAAAAATTTTATAAATGAAACTATGATAGTTTTATTTTCATTTTCAATTTTACTTCAGAGCCGCATGTACATACCCAAAGAACCGCATGTGGCTCACAAGCTGCAGTTGGCTGACCGCTGGCGGCTCTTCCATTTCAAAAGTTTGCCGACCCCTGCTCTAGAGTGACCCAACGGTGGCTATATTTGCACTGGCCAAAAACAGTGTGTGCCCTTGCTTTTCAAGATTAGTGACTGCTCACTAGCATAGCAAATGCCATTGTTTTCACAACCTAGCTGGTCAGTGGAAGTGGCAGAAGCAGGGCCTCTGCCTTCTGCCTCCTAGAACCCACAAAATTGCAACTTATTGTCCAACACAAATCAGAGCAGAATCATAGCTGCAAGGGATTCTGGTCAGTGTAGTTTTTAAGCTCCCCTGCCTATGCAGTATAGGACACTACAAGGTCAGTTCATCATAACCCCCACACCACTCTTTGAGGCTTTGCTTCAGGAATCCAGGGCTACCTTTGTTCCTGGAACACTTGATAGCCTTTGAACTTCTATGAATCAGGGATGGTGTGCCCTGAAAATTGTTAGGGCATGTATAGTAATTCTCATCCTGGCTGCCTAATTTAGCAGCTACTATATGCTAGGCCGTGTGCTCAGCACAGCAGTTCTCCAGTTTGCCAGGGCATCAGAATCACCTGGGAGTTGTTAAAAACACAGAATCCTGAGTCCCATCCACAGAGGCTTGATTCAGGACGTCTGAGTTTGGGACCAGAAATGTACAATTTGTAATGAACTCCCTCGGGTTATTCTGATTCAGGTGGTCTGTTGACCATACCTGGAGAGACTGGCTTAGCGCTTTATGCACATCATCTTTTTAACTCCTCCCCCTGACCTCCACAAGGCAGTAGGGATGATGGATCCCTACTCAGAAACAGGCTCAGAAAGATAAAATCACTTGTCCATCATCACAGTGAAATGATAATCATAGCTGAACTCTACTGAGTGCTTCCTGTGGGCCATCTTGTTTACCGGCTTACCAGTCTAAGGATTTTACACCTTGCTAATAATAATCCTGGAAGGTGGGTATCGATCTCCATTTGTCAGATGAGGCAACCAAGGCTATGACAGAGAAAGTATCTGACGTCATATAAGTAGTGTCAGAGCCACATTTTTTTTTTTTTNTTTCCCGCGCCGTCTGGTCCCGCCTCTCTCAGATGCGGGCTCCCCCGGTGTCTCCGTGGTTGACTGATCTGTCTCCATCTCTCCGCCTGTCTCTGATGTCTCTGTATCCGCTGGCCCTCTCCCTCTGGGTGTGTTTCTCCCTCTGTATCTCTGGAGGTCTCTGTATCTACTTCTTTATCTCTGCCTCTCCATCTCTGTCCATCGGTCTCTGTCTCTCTCTGTCTCTGTTTGCCTCTATACCCCAGTGTCTTGAGGAGCTCTTCATCTCTGTAGATCTCTCTGCCTCCATCTCCACGTCTTTCTGTCTCTGTGCATCTCTTTGCCTTTTCCCCTCCTGTTTCTCTGTCTCTCGTGTCTCTCGCCCTATTTCTCTGTCTCTTAGACCCCCACGCTGCCACCTTTGCCCCATCCTCATCTCATCCCAAATCCTCCCCCATCCCCAGAGCTTCCCCCTGGGCTGAGGAGCTGCTTGGGAGTGGGGTAGGGAGCGTAGGGTTGCTACCTGGGGCAAGTGGACGCTGAGTGACACCGTGTCCCCAGCGCCCTTTTCACATAGTCACCCCACTGGTCCTGCGGTCCCACCCACTCCACCCTCCAATTTCAGGAATTCCTGGCTGCGGGGTGGACTTCCTCCCTCACTTCCTCCCTTCCAGGATTTGGCTGGTCACCATTAACTCCTTCCTGCATAGGCCTCATCCCCACTCCTTGAACTGNCCCCAGCCCTGCCATCATGGGACTCATAGTCCAGTGGGGGAGATAGACCTATCCCTAGACAATTTAGAGTAGGTCAGGCAGGGACAAGGAAGCCTGAGGGGGCATTTGGCCCCAGCCTGGGAGGGAGTCAGGAAGGGCTTCCTGGAGGAAGGGACATCCAAGCTAGACCTGGCGAATGAGGAGTTAGTTTCCAGGGGGGTGAAGAAGGAAAGCAGTCTCTAGGTAAATGGAATAAAAGCATGTACAGAAACCCAGAGTGACACAGAGCTTGGCATTTGGGGAAATTCGAGAAGGCAGGGTGGCTAAATCATTGCAGAGTTCAAGGAGGACACTGGTGAGGACAAGGCTAGAGCAGTGTGTGTGAGAGGATACCAGGCCAGGCAGAGCCTGGGGGTCATGGTGAGAAGCCGGGGCTTTCTCCTGAGGCCACCAGGGAACCACTAAGGGTTTTGAGCAAGGCGGGGGACAGGGTCAGGTACACATTTCCAAAAGATCATTCTGATTCTCACCCCTGGCTAGAGACAGCCTGGGTGAGATGAAGGCAGGGAGGCTGGAATGGGGCCTGTTCCTCTTAGAGGGTCCCTGGCTCCCGCTGACATCTTACCACCACCACCCACAGGGATCTGGTCCGAGGGAGCAGACGGTACTGACATCAATGCTGTGGCTCGCTCCCATGATGGCAAGTTGCTGGCTTCAGCTGATGACTTTGGCAAAGTCCACCTGTTTAACTACCCTTGCTGTCAGCCTCGAGTGAGTCCCTCTGGGGGGCAGGCAGGGTGGAGGTAACAGCAATGGGGGCAAGATTGAGGCAGCCCTGGTCCACCTCCATCCCTCTCCGGGCCTCAGTTTACTCACCTGTACAAGGAGCGCAGTGGGCTTGACCTCGAGGGCCTTCTTAATCTGAAGGTTGATGAATTTCAGTCTGTAGTGCTAAACCTCTGAGCATCTGCAATTCTGAGCTTTTTGATTCTTTTATCCTTATTAACTCAACAAATACTTATTGAGCACCTGCTGTGTGCCTGGGCACGGGATACAGCAAGTAAACAAGTCAGATGGGGTTACTGCCCTCACCAAGCTGACATTTTAAGTGCCATGATGGTTCCAAGTAGCTACATGTCTAAGGTTTTTTGGATCTACATCATCTGTGATTCTCCTGCAGCTCTAGGACAAGGGACACAAACTCCAAGGCCACAGGGTCAGACAGGCAGTGAGAATAATTGAATGAGGCTGGGGGGCAGCTACTCCTTACAACCCATTTCACCTCACTCCTGGTGGGAAGCCGGGCCAGTGCATCCTGATCTTGTGAGGTTTTGACGGAAGCTGGAAATCAGGATTTTAAAGTAAGCTTCCTTGATTTTTAAATGTCAGCAATTATCTTTCTTAAAACACTGGCAGTATATTCAACACATCCACAGAGCACTAGCAGATAACCTGTGTCTAAGATAAAACTGGATGTTAATTTTACCATTCTTTGGTTCTAACAGAGGTGAAATTTGTTTTAATATTTTATTATGAAATTTGCATACATAAAAGCAGATAAAATGGTACAGTGATCCTTCCCCGTACCTATTACCCATGGTCAACTATTATCAGATTTGGCACTTGTTTCTTCTCTTTTTCTCTTCTGTTCTTTTTTTTGCTGTAGTTTTTTAAAACAACCCCGTATATGACCTGATAGCTCCTCAGATTAGCATTCATATCTCAAAAATAAAGATAATTCTTACATATCCACACATCCATGTTCATACCCATTGGTTAACATTAATTTTTAAATATGATCTAATACCCAATCTGTATTCAAATTTCCCTGATTGTCTCCAAAAATGGCCTTCTACACACACTTTTGTTTGTTTGAATCAAGGTCCAAACATTGCATGTGCTTATGTCTTGTATCGTGTCGTACAGAACAGCCTTCTCCACATGCATACTTTTTTTTTTTTTTTAATACCATTGACTTGTTGAAGAAACCGGATCATTTGCCCTGTTGCTTCTTAAAGAGGGGTTTATTAAGCAGAGGAGGAGGGGGTCAGGTTGGAAAGACATGGAATGTCATTGCCCCCTCTGACCTTTCACTTCCTTCTTTCCCTACCACAGGCCCTCAGCCACAAATACGGTGGACACAGCAGCCATGTGACAAATGTGGCCTTCTTGTGGGATGACAGTATGGCCCTGACCACAGGGGGCAAGGACACCAGCATACTGCAGTGGAGGGTGGTCTGAAGTGGGGGCCCCAGGGACATGGGGCCAGGGTAGAAATATGTGGCAGGGCTGGAATTCTATTTTCGGGAGATGTCTATTGCCGAGTAGAGTAATATATACCCAGAGTATGTCTATAGAAGAGAGGGTTATGAGGGTGGGAGGGTGGACTGACAGTCAGAAGTCTCTATTTATCGGGGTGGGAAGAGGGGTCACATTGCTTTGGGCAAACCATTAGGGTTTTGGTTTGGGGTGTTTTTTAAGTTTATTCTTTTATATCATCCAGAAATAAAGACATGTGCACTGAGGTGGAGTGTCAGGGTCTACATATGTGGTTCATAGATTATGTCTATAGGTGTGTGCATATGGGTGTGTGTGTGTATATTACAGTGTTTGTGATGAGGGACCGTTATTACGGTCCTTATTGGATATAAGTGGCTGAAGTGAACCTTTCTCTTACTTAGGACAAAAGAGAACTCAGTTGGCCCACAAATCAAACAAGGAAGGGCAGTTGTGCCTCTGGGCTTCAGGTCCACTGAACCAAGGATTTGAGGGCCACCAGGACATTCATGCCATACCTTCTCTGACCTACGAGTCAGCAGTTTTCTTGAACCAGCATTCTCCGCAGCACAGAAACATGGCACCCAGGAGCTGCTAAGCTCACATCAACAGGCCTTGGGCTCCAAGTCCAAAAATCCCTGGGAAGGGTTGTGATTGGCCCATCTGAAGATCAGTCAACTTGACCAGCCCCTTGGTCTACTGTGATTGGGTGAAGTACCAGTCCTGGGCCAAGGGACTGTGGCCAGGGAGGTGGGATTGTGCAAAAACATGGAAGCCTCCACCTGCCCCACAAGGTTGAAGTAGGGCAAGGAATGTTTTCAGAGAAGTGGGATGATGGCACAAAAGATGTCTGAGAGTTAGAGTTTGAGTACTCTGGGTTTCAAAAGATAAACCCAACTCCATCCATTTATAAACAATAAAAAGAAATTGCCAGGTCCTGGAACAGGGTAGTCCAGGAGAGGCCCATCGGGATTCAGGGGGCTCAAATGTGATCATCAGGATTCTCTTCTCAGGGATTTCTCAACTTGGTATCTAATCTTGAACATTTTAACTTTGTATTGGTGTTTAATATACAGAGAAGTGCACCCATTATAAATGTATAGTTTGCTGAATTCACAAACAACCCATCCATGCAGCCATCTCCTAGATGGAGAAACAACATTCCAGTTCCTCAGAAGCCCTCTTGTGCCCCCTCTCAGTCATTGTCCCCCACAGTAACCACTTTATATTTGGGGTGGAGATTGAGTTCTGATTTTTACATCTTTTGTGGCCAAGATAATATTAATATTTGATGCACTGATTTTTTCTTTAATGTATTCTTTAGTAGTTCTCAAACTTGAAGGTGCATTACAATCACCTGTAGGGCTTGTAATGACAATGCATCTCCTCCCAACCCCCCATCCAGGGTTTCTAATTCAGTCAGCCTGGGATGGGGTCCAAGAATTTGCATTTCTGAAGAATTCACAGATGATACTTGATGCTTCAAGGACCACACTTTGAGAACCACTGCTCTAATGGAACTATAATAAGGTAGCAAACAGGATTTTTCTGGACAGCAAAAGAATTCTGTAGAACATTACACACATTTGTGGTTCCTCATCTCAACTCTACAGATGATCACTTGGGATGGAAAGCTCAGAACCCTGCAGTTTCAGAGTGACAATCAAACCTGTCTCTTCCTAAAGAGGGACATACTCCAGTAGATACCCGCGAACCCATCTAGTAGTCCAAGTCTTGGGGAAGTGGCCCATGCTATTGAAACACCCCTTTCAATGGGTCTCTTGGTTCTCTGTCTCCCCCTAGTGCCCAGCCTCAGACCTGCATGAAAAAATGTGCTTAGGAAGTTCTGGAACAGTGCTGGTAATTCTCCACATGCCCCCCAGGGTCACTCTCAGCTTTTCTCCCGCCCTGGACCCTGGGAGACTGCCCTGTGAGGACGCCATTCACGGGGATCCCTTGCCCTCCGCCCTGTGGTTGGGTTCTGCTAATCAGAGTCACTGACAGGAAACCCAGGGGTTGGAGGAGAGAGGTGGGAGTGTTTATTTTCCGGGCCCCTCCCTGCATCCCTGCCATTTTGTGACAGTGGCTGTGTTCCTATACCTGAAACTACAGCTCCTAGGGGCTCGTCTCCAAACTCTAGCTTTCTGCCCAAAGGGTGGTAATGGCTTGGCTCTCTCTGAGGCTAGTCCCCTGGTAACACCCTATACTTTGTGGGGTCCTTTACCCTGTCCATCCCTCTAAAATGTCCGTAAATGCCGCCACTTAAACTCTTTGAGTGACCACCTGTTTCCTGCCAGGACCCTGACTTAATCAGAGCACAAACTTAGGGTGAGCCCAGGAGAGAAGGGGACCCTCGCCCACCAGTGGTCCCCAGAATTTCTTTTTAGGAAGAGCTTGGGATGGCGGAGGGGCTGATAGCGCCCTGTGGGGCTTGTTCTGAAGCTGATAGGATGTATATGAGGTTAGTTGGGGGGAGGGGCTAAAGCCTTCATGACACCTTCCCTGGAGCTGTCCCTGACTGTCCCCTTGAGGGAAGGTGNCTCTAGAAAAACACCTAAGGAAATTATCTTAAACGAATCAAGCTGTGGGTATTTAGAACAGGAGTTAAAAAGGATCCAGAATCCAGTAACAGGAGGGATGTTTTCTGTTCGAGCTGGCTTATTAAAGGAAAGGGCAATGGGTTCCTGGAGGGCAGCAGAGGGAGGGAGGTGAGAGCCTTCATGCCAGGCTGAGAGTTGCCTCTGAGGCAGGGGAATGTCCAGAAGGACGGGGGACCCCAGCTCTGAACCCTGCTTCTTTGTCTCCTCAGGACCCTGCCCGCTCTGCTGGCTTCCACCCCAGCGGCTCTGTCCTGGCTGTGGGCACAGTGACTGGCAGGTAAAGCTGAATTGGGCATTTGAGGAGGGCTTCTCTGCTCCCCCCTTCCCAAACTGTCCCTTGACATCCCCCCGGTCACTACTCCCCCAGAGCCCTCAGAGAATTTTAATTCGGTACCAGCTGTACCAAGACTTGATCTCCCAACATTCCTTGGGAGTCAGCCTCTCTCCAAATCTATTCTGGAGTCCCTCCCTCAGGTCTCACAGATTGCCCTCCTACCAGATCAGCTCACCCCTCTTCTTTCGCCCCCTCATGCCTTCTCCTTAAAGATGGCTGTTGCTGGATGCAGTGACCCATGACCTAGTGGCTATCCATACAGATGGCAATGAACAGATCTCAGTGGTCAGCTTCTCCCCAGGTAAGGGGTGGGGCCTGGGACCTTGGAGAGGCAAAGCCTGGGAACTGAGACTCAGTTACTGGCAAGGGGAAGGGGCCGAACCTGTGTGTCTAGGCCTGGGGGCGGGTCTAGGATTGTAGAGGGGATGGAGTTTGGGACTGCTGAGGAGTCTGGGATAGTGGGGGGTTGAATCTGAGAGAGGAGGGGGCGGAGCCTGGGTGCCTCCTCATAGCCCCCTCCCCCTCCCCCAGACGGGGCGTACCTGGCTGTGGGCTCCCACGACAACTTGGTGTACGTGTACACGGTGGACCAAGGCGGCCGCAAGGTCAGCCGCCTGGGCAAGTGCTCGGTGAGTGGGCAGATGACCCCCAGCCCGCGCCGCCACTCCATCCAGTGGGTGCAAAATTAACCAATTTTCTACCTCAAGGGAGCACAGCTTCAACACTCAACTGACTGCCCTGATCACGTCAAGAAGGCTTAAGCCCCGCCCACACATTTACCCTCTCCTGTGTTCTAAGCCCACCCCTTCGTGTAGCCCCACCCCTTCGTGTAGCCCCGCCCATCACGTTCTAAGCACATCCTCTGTGTAGCCCAGCCCCTTGCATTTAAAGCCCAATCCTCTGTGTCTAGCTCTGCCCACTTGTTCTAAACTCCCGTTGTGTTCTAAGCCCTTTTTGTCTAGCCCTGCCCATGGTAGTCTGGCCCGGCCCCCACTCTCTAAAGACCTGTGGATCCTTTTAGCCCCTTGTGTTCTCACCGAACCTCTGTATTTTGCCATCCATTCTTTCTGGCCTAATCCTGCCCCTTCCAGCTCTAATTCCACCTCTTCCCTCCCCTGCAGGGACATTCCAGTTTTATCACCCACCTGGATTGGGCCCAGGACAGCAGCTGCTTTGTCACCAACTCCGGGGACTATGAGATTTTGTACTGTGAGTTCTCCAAGACCCAAAGCGTTCTTCCATAAGTTACCTTATTTGCGTGTGTGATGTGCATAGACTTGCCTGAGTTCTGGAAGGGGAGGCAGTGGCTTCAAGTATCTCTCCTCTGACTGTTGTATTTCAGGGCTGTTCTGATTGGTTAGTTTCCTGGCTTCTGATTTCCTCCCTGGTGGACTCCACTTTTCACCAATTCCTCTCCTTTCTGGTTGGATGGGTGGGGTGCAGGTTTCTAAGCAGATGCCCCTGCTCAGGTTTTAGGGGGTCAGGACCTAGGGCCCAGCCCCCTAAGCCAGTTAGGAGAGGTGGAATAAGTCCTGGGACCCTAGCCTCCTGTCTTGGACATCAGTCTGTGAAATGGATGGGTTAAGTAAGTAGTTATTTCCACTCTGGACCCCTTCCCCCATTTTCTGCCCCAGGGGACCCAGCTACCTGTAAGCAGATCACCAGTGCAGATGCTGTAAGGAACATGGAATGGGCCACGGCTACTTGCGTCCTGGGGTTTGGGGTGTTTGGTAAGTTCTGGAATGGGGAAGGTCCCACTAAAGACAGAAGTTCCAAGAAACATCCCTGTGTGGTTGTTTTCAGTCTCTTTCTATTGTTTACCTCCAGAATGGGAGACTCAGTCCTTGAGTACACCTGTGGGCAGTATTTGTGTAAGAGGAAAGGAAGGGTAGGGTGAGACGACTACTGAAATCCCTTGAAGATGTAATGAAATGAGGCCAAATGGGTGGTGGCACCTGGTGCCCTAGTCACCCTTTCATTCAGGCATGAATGCAGTTAACATGTAATTCCTGAGCACCTTTGTGCCCAGCCCTGGGCTGGTCACTGCTGGGACACAGTGGTGATGACAACAGCCCCAGCCCTGCCATCATGGGACTCATAGTCCAGTGGGGGAGATAGACCTATCCCTAGACAATTTAGAGTAGGTCAGGCAGGGACAAGGAAGCCTGAGGGGGCATTTGGCCCCAGCCTGGGAGGGAGTCAGGAAGGGCTTCCTGGAGGAAGGGACATCCAAGTTAGACCTGGCGAATGAGGAGTTAGTTTCCAGGGGGGTGAAGAAGGAAAGCAGTCTCTAGGTAAATGGAATAAAAGCATGTACAGAAACCCAGAGTGACACAGAGCTTGGCATTTGGGGAAATTCGAGAAGGCAGGGTGGCTAAATCATTGCAGAGTTCAAGGAGGACACTGGTGAGGACAAGGCTAGAGCAGTGTGTGTGAGAGGATACCAGGCCAGGCAGAGCCTGGGGGTCATGGTGAGAAGCCGGGGCTTTCTCCTGAGGCCACCAGGGAACCACTAAGGGTTTTGAGCAAGGCGGGGGACAGGGTCAGGTACACATTTCCAAAAGATCATTCTGATTCTCACCCCTGGCTAGAGACAGCCTGGGTGAGATGAAGGCAGGGAGGCTGGAATGGGGCCTGTTCCTCTTAGAGGGTCCCTGGCTCCCGCTGACATCTTACCACCACCACCCACAGGGATCTGGTCCGAGGGAGCAGACGGTACTGACATCAATGCTGTGGCTCGCTCCCATGATGGCAAGTTGCTGGCTTCAGCTGATGACTTTGGCAAAGTCCACCTGTTTAACTACCCTTGCTGTCAGCCTCGAGTGAGTCCCTCTGGGGGGCAGGCAGGGTGGAGGTAACAGCAATGGGGGCAAGATTGAGGCAGCCCTGGTCCACCTCCATCCCTCTCCGGGCCTCAGTTTACTCACCTGTACAAGGAGCGCAGTGGGCTTGACCTCGAGGGCCTTCTTAATCTGAAGGTTGATGAATTTCAGTCTGTAGTGCTAAACCTCTGAGCATCTGCAATTCTGAGCTTTTTGATTCTTTTATCCTTATTAACTCAACAAATACTTATTGAGCACCTGCTGTGTGCCTGGGCACGGGATACAGCAAGTAAACAAGTCAGATGGGGTTACTGCCCTCACCAAGCTGACATTTTAAGTGCCATGATGGTTCCAAGTAGCTACATGTCTAAGGTTTTTTGGATCTACATCATCTGTGATTCTCCTGCAGCTCTAGGACAAGGGACACAAACTCCAAGGCCACAGGGTCAGACAGGCAGTGAGAATAATTGAATGAGGCTGGGGGGCAGCTACTCCTTACAACCCATTTCACCTCACTCCTGGTGGGAAGCCGGGCCAGTGCATCCTGATCTTGTGAGGTTTTGACGGAAGCTGGAAATCAGGATTTTAAAGTAAGCTTCCTTGATTTTTAAATGTCAGCAATTATCTTTCTTAAAACACTG